AAGAACATATAAGGGAGCAGAAAAAAGTGTAACCAAGCCGTAATAAACGGAAATGTATGAGAAGCAAAATCATTACATAGAGAATGATTAGGACTTACTTAATCTGTGGTGGGGGGGGGGAGAGGGTTACAAAGAGTGAACGCATCTGAGTACTATTTTGAGCAATTCATTCTTAGCATTTCGAAAACCTATGTCAGGTAGTCTACATCTCTCTACATAGCTGAAATAAATAGTTCCTGAATTCATGGTTAGGTATCATGTTTTAGTCTGACCACCCTAATTCTTTTTCAACCCAGTTCTATATCACTTCACACTGCTCGACGAGTGTTACGGTGGCTAGGCACAGGGTAGGACATGTTTTAAACATCTCAGTCGACACATTTAATTATGGTATCGGTGCAGTTTTCTGTGATGTTTCTAAATAGTTTTGAGCAACTACTTCCACTCACTTTAAGAATGATAAGTAAACTGAAGTGAATGATACGCAGATTGATAATGAAGACATCGTATTTATAGCCATAGTCAAGATGTTACATGACCGCTGCTTTCCACTGTTCACTGATTGTTGCTGTGATCTCTGCTGCCACTCTTTGGTTCAAGTTCACACGAAAGATAACCTTCAAAAATTTAGCACTGATCATTTTTCGTATACAATATCAACATAAAGTAATAACATATAAAATAATTTCGGTATGATCGATAAACTAACTAGTATTTTGGCGGGTGCTACTCACAAGACTTATCAGTAGTATAGAGAGAGATGTTCATAAGCATGAAATGTCAAATATATGAAATAAACCGGTGTTGTGGCAAAACATGGTGGACAAGAAGAAGACGACGACGACAAAGAAACACAATACGAAGGGTAGAAGTAGCACACCACAGGAGATCTGTTCAGCAAATAACGATTTCAATATAAAGTATAGATATAATTTATCACCACATTTTCAACGGGAGAGTCAGGGATCAGACATGGATTCGAGTGGAAATGGTGGCGGATAACCAAATAAAATGGAGACGTGCAGCTGAAGTCCTATGTTCCTCGAGGAATGAAAGGATGAAATAATAATATAATAATAATACACATAATTTCCTTATATTTGTATATCAAATTGCAAATGAACATTCCTTTACTAACCACATTTCACTTCGGCTGTTACAGTATCACTTCAGTGCAACCCTAGCCATTAATTAATGGAGTATGCCTGTAAATTCATTGGGAAAGCAAAAAATGGTTATTAGTAGATTGGATAATGCGACAGACAACGAACGGGCAATGAGGGGACAGGTATAAAATGGACTCACACAAAAAACTTGAAGGATCTGGACTTCGCCCTTGATGATATATGTCTGATTTCCCACAAACTGGAAGATATGCAAGTGAAAAACAATAAGTTGGTAGAAGAAGCATCCAGAGAAGATAGGGCTTCAGGTGAACATAGATAAAAAAGAGGTGATGAAGATTCCTGGCCCAACACCAACAGACAACAATCAGCCAGCATAAATGGGAGGAACCTGAAAGAAACAACCTTCTTTACCTACCGATCTGGAAGCATAGTTTCAACTACGGGAGGAAATGACGAGGATATCAAAGCAAGAATCGGAAAAGCAGGACAAGCTTTCATTACTCTCAAGTCTGTGTGGAGGTCAACAGCACTCAGCATCAGAAATAAGATCTGTATTTTCAACTCCAATGTGAAGTGAGTCAGTGCTACTATACGGATCAGAGACTTGGCCAGCGCGTCATAAAGAGCACTTCAAACAAACTACAGACCTTCGTCAACAGCTGCCTTTGCTCAATACTCAAGATCAGATGGTCAGAAACGATCAGCAACAGGGATCTCTGGCACTGAGCAAACCAACCAGGAACCGATTGTGCAACAAATAGGCAGGAAGAAATGGAGATGGATTGGCTGGCCATACTCTGAGGAAACAAACCATCAAGTGACATCACTAGACAAGCCATTGCTCGAGTGGAACCCGAAAGGGAAGCGGCGAGTTGGTCGTCCAAGTGGGACTTGGAGGAGGTCATGTGAAGAGGAGATGAAAGCGTGTGGGCAGACTTGGAGCGAAAACGTTAGCAGAAAACCGAACGCATTTGAGACGCGCGGCTGAAGCCCTCTGTTCCTCTAGGAATTAAAGGAAATAATAATAATAAGGGTTTTATTAGCTAGAGATTTTATCACTAGCTTTTATCAGTTAGAAAACTACTGGAAAACCAGGGAGTACCAGATAGCTGTCTCGCTCTAGTTTGGGACTCCAGCAATCTGCCTGCACCCATTGGGATTTGAATTCAGGATGTTCTGGTTACAAGGCGAGGATGTAGACAATTTAGCTACTGGGACCCAATGGCCACAGGGAAGAATTTTCTTCCTTTTCGCCAAAGTCATCAATTAGGTTGTACACTCGTGAATATATAACAAAAAGGAGTGAAAGTCCCGAAGGTACTTCTATTCAGAAGTCACGATTTTTTTTCCCTTCACTTTCCCCAGTGGAACATAGGGCTCCAAGCTAGTGGCTTGAAGTTTCTGTAGCAGTGTTTATTTTTACAGGATGGGGTTGCTAGCCTCATGCCCAACCGTTCCTCTTTACCAGCATTATTTCTGGCTCAGTGAGGTAAAGGAGTGCGCCGGCCAGGGATCGAACCCCGGACCACATGCATGGTCGGCGAGCGTCCTAACCGCTATACCACCGACGCACAGAAGTCACGATAACGTTATATAAAGAAATCAGAGACTGAAAACGTAGTAGTAACAAGTAAAATAAACAGGAAATTCGGATAAAAAATATAATTGAATAATAATCATTGATGAAGTCGACTATTTCTGATGATCATAGTAAAGACAAAGCTTCGATACATTTCTTTTGGATATATAGAGGGTTAATACTCCCTTTAGACAATGAACTAGTATGCAGATATCGATATTATTTGGATTGAATGAAATCACATAATAGAAAAACAGGTGACCTCTGTTGGTAGAACATTACTACTATATTATTACCATTCCCCTGGGTTCCGAGTAGAACATAGGGCTTCAACAACACGTTTACACTTTGTTTAATTCTCTGCTATCCTATTAATCTGTGTCCATGGCTGCCCATATTTTCTCATCTCCTCCACGTATGAAGTGTATTTAATCCCTGCTTGTATCACATAACTTCAACATGTTAGTTGCATTTCCACTTCCGACTAGAAATATTTCTTAAACCTTCTCAACCTTTTGTTATATATTCATGAATGTAAAGTCTTGTTAGTTGACGACTTTGTCGAAAAGAAAAGAAATCCTCTTCGTTGCAAACGTTCCATTGTTTTCGCTACGATTAAATAACGCAACAGTTGTGTAATAGTTACATAGCAATTTCAGTATCATAACAGCTTAGAATCTAGTAATTTATGCCTTCTAGCTTGAAAATATGACTAATTGGCTCCAGCTAGTGAGGACCACAGATTCGTATCTCACCTCCCCCCCCCTCTCCACCTACTCCAGACTGGGTAGACAAGAAGTATCATAAGGCATCATTCTATAAGTGTGGCTCTTAGTCCGTTTACCTTGCTGATTAACTAATATATTCTAATCTACTATGAGCTCATGGTAGATTGGAACGACTCCTAGTGTCATAGTTGGATATCTATTTTTACTCCGGATGTTAGACATAAATCATTTCAAGTAACCCTGAATTCTGAACCATGCATCTTCATAAAAGGATGGCTGTAAATAAGTCCAGTCCTAAAGTTATGAATCAACGAGTTACAAATCAAAAAATATACTGAACATGTATATGGAACAGGTATTCCTACAAGGCTGGAAACTTTAGAAATATCTGTACACAAAAACTGTATGTTTTGACTATTTTCAATTTCCACTTATTAAGAGTAATTGGAGGATTGCATCATGAGCTGACATTGGTTAGAAAACCTGGGAGTACTGGACAGCTGTCTCGTCCTAGTGCCTGAGGTTCTTCACCAGTACGCACCCACCGGATTTCGAACCCAAACCTGGTCACAAGGCGAGCTAGCTCGTAGACCATTAAGCCACTGGAACCCGATAAAATGGCTTATGAGTTCTAACTTCTACCAATTCATGACATAGCGCGACCACTTCGGAATGTCTTCGTCGATGAGTAACTGGTAGAAGTTAGAATTCAAGGGCTATTGGGTCGAGTCCCAGTGGGTTAATGGCCTACGAGCTCACTTTGGACTCAGTGGGTGCTCACCGTGCAGAGTCCCAAACTAGGACGAAACAGCTTTCCAGTACTAAAAGTTTTCCAATGGTTCTCTAACTGATATCAGCTCATGACGAAATACCTACAAAACCAATACGTTTTAAGAATAACCACTGGATTTCAGTGAACCTTAAAACATGGAATGGACTAAATTCTTTGATACGATATTAATGAGTTCTGATCATGTTAAGAAAACACTGACCAAAACGCTGATAGTATGTACGGGAGACTGAAGGCGTATGCTTCAAGGTTCCTCTTAGCTACAGGAATACTATTGTTTTCTTTCTTCATAAATCCTACAGCAAAGTATTACTAGAAGAATTTTTGGATGATGAATATCTTGAAAGTATCAGTAAAAAGTTTGAGCATTGTGGATTAGAATAAATAAAGTATAATTATTATACTTTATTTATCTTGAAAGTGCATGGCATGGCATTGCATATTTTCCAACATGAATCCTAAGTCACACTGGTAATCGCCTAACATTCATCTGGCATAAATCCGTAAAGCAATTAGGTCTATTAATCATTTGCAACTGCCTGTCTATATAAGGAATGCTGTCAATCCATCCAAAATAAATGGATTTACTACATTCAGGACAGGAGGTCAGCCTGACATGTCTTATGTCACAACACTTATTGGTCATTTATAAACGTTTATATCGAACCAAGGCTAATTTTCTGGTCTAGACAACTATGAAAACAAAACTTTGTAGTGAAGACATTATAAAAACTAGGCATCAAACGAACCAATCAACATTTGGACCATTTCACTAGACAATGTAACTCTAATTCCTCTTTATAAATAAGCAAAGCCTTAAGTATACCGAACAAGCATACAAAACAATCTATTTACTAGTCACTTGAGCTTTTGCAATTGATTAGTTCAGACAACCAATAAGCTAGCTGGGCTAAAATTAGGATATGGATTTATTTTTAAACAACCAAGGTCATTGCCTGAGCAGACGATTTTTTGATTGGTCAATTCTGAGAAAACAGACACAGCCATATATGGCCATTTAGTTAAGTATAATTAAAAATTGCAGTTCAAGCTAACTTATTCCCACATTTGACGACAAGATGGCTGAGGATGAGGTTGCCGCCCTTGTTATCGACAATGGATCTGGTATGTGCAAAGCTGGATTCGCTGGTGATGATGCTCCTAGAGCCGTCTTCCCTTCCATCGTTGGAAGACCCAGACATCAAGGAGTGATGGTGGGAATGGGTCAGAAAGATAGCTATGTTGGAGACGAAGCCCAGTCGAAACGTGGTATCTTGACTCTGAAGTATCCTATTGAACATGGTATTGTGACGAACTGGGATGATATGGAGAAGATTTGGCATCATACATTCTACAATGAATTGAGAGTTGCTCCTGAAGAACATCCAGTATTGCTGACGGAAGCCCCACTGAATCCGAAAGCGAACCGTGAGAAGATGACTCAGATTATGTTTGAAACTTTCAATGCTCCAGCTATGTATGTGGCGATTCAAGCTGTTTTGTCATTGTATGCATCTGGTCGTACAACAGGTATTGTGTTGGACTCAGGTGATGGTGTTACACACACCGTTCCTATTTACGAGGGTTATGCACTTCCTCATGCCATCCTCCGTCTGGATCTTGCCGGTAGAGATCTTACTGACCATCTAATGAAGATCCTCACTGAGCGAGGCTACAGCTTCACTACAACTGCTGAACGTGAAATAGTTCGTGATATCAAGGAGAAGCTGTGTTATGTTGCTTTGGATTTCGAGCAGGAGATGGCGACAGCAGCGTCCAGTTCTACATTGGAGAAGAGCTATGAGCTTCCTGATGGTCAAGTTATTACTATTGGTAATGAACGATTCAGGTGTCCAGAAGCTCTTTTCCAACCTAGTTTCTTGGGTATGGAATCTGCTGGTATTCATGAGACAACATACAATTCCATTATGAAGTGTGATGTGGATATCCGAAAGGATCTGTACGCAAATACGGTGTTGTCTGGTGGTAGTACAATGTACCCTGGTATTGCTGATCGTATGCAGAAGGAGATTGGTGCTCTCGCTCCAAGCACAATGAAGATCAAGATTGTTGCACCACCTGAGAGGAAGTACTCAGTTTGGATTGGTGGTTCTATTTTGGCTTCCTTGTCAACATTCCAACAGATGTGGATTTCCAAACAAGAGTATGATGAGTCTGGACCCGGAATTGTTCATCGCAAGTGTTTCTAAGTGTTTGATTTAAATAGATACGTTAATTTTCTATCACAGTGTGCTTTCTTTGTGCTTATGATTGCTTGGTTTCGTATCGTATAATGGTTTAGTTGTTATTGGTTCGTCGTACTTGTATTTTGTTGTCAGTTCCCAGTTGCACGCAGATATTAAACGTGTAGGGATGCAACTTTCCGAGCAGTATTTTGCGTTTAATACCTAGGGCCCGGTGGCTATGAAGAGAGTTTTAGTGTGCGTCACTTCGAGTGTATCTTTGTCATAATCTTTACGGCGTGTAGGTAGTTTGTGCGCTGCTACTTCCCATTATTGATGAAATTTATTTTGATAGTTACAGAGTGCTATACAGTTATATCTACTGATGACTTTCCGAGCACCTTGATATGGACTGAGCAGTAAATTGCGCTCCAAAGCGTTACCAGCAAATATTGGTGTATAGCACTGTGTGACCATCAAACAAATTTTAATGCATAGTGGGACTATACTCTGCCATAATGCCCAAGTTTTATCCTGGTGTCTGCGTTGCTACCTGGTTTGTTGGTTTGCAGGTTGACGGTCGGATAATAGAAAGTCTTGTTTGTAAGTTTGGGCGATGGCAGTCGCGTCGGGACTTGGAAATACGGTTGGTCGTAAACCTTCATTTAGCATGTAGAATGTTTGGCGATCACTGTACTCGTCATTGTAGGTAGCACTAATGGTAGTATGTCCCTTCATTCGACGTACACTGCTTCATGGCGATATTTAATTTCTAGGAATTACCTGTCCACACATCATCGCTCAAAATTTCGTAGTGGCTGGCGCTGTTTACGTCAACTACTTAAACTTGGAGTTGGGCTCGAGGATTCTCATCATTTGTGGTGTTTTGATAAGTTTAACTACATGCTCATGACTAAGTATGCATCCATGATCGCCAGTCTCGGTCACAAACTTCTCGATCTAATTGCGATGATTTGGCTTACTGTCTGTTCTTCCATCTACTTTGGATGAGGTCTTATGGTATGTAAGCGTACTATACTATCGTCGTATTTTGCGGATTAGCCGATAGCATCCGTCTACTAAAACTTTATTCAGCATCGTGTAGGTCACATTTTTTCAAAACTGTGGATTAACTTCCTTACTTTCCTCACCGGTTACCCATCATACGAGTTGATTAAGAGTAGATTGTTGGGTTAAGGGGTTCTAGGTTTTCCTGCCATGTCCATTTTGTGGGTAATAATCTCCCTACACTACACTTTCGAGTTGTCAAGATGAAGCAAGAAAGTTGTGTGAGGGCCTTGGTGTGATTATGAGCAGCAAGAATTTGTGTTCGGAACGTCATCAGTAAGTATTTACTTTGTGACTTATCAAAATAAAATCTTATCCATAGTGAAGTTATACTCTACCACAGTGCACAAGTTTTATACTTATATCAATAATACTTCCGAGTTATATCTAGTATTCAGGTGGCGTGGTTATCATGGATTGTAAATGCCTATGATGGTTACCTACCCTACAGTAGTCGACCAACTGGTTGTTTTCCTCTTACCCGTATTAATACGGTTTGTCTACTTTTGCCTGTTATTAAGAAGACCGAAAGCTGCATAGTTCAGAGCAGAGCTGGCAGGTTTTACTGAGGAAGTCAGTGTTCGTCTAACTTTATCTGATTGTTTGCGATTCCTAGATAAGATACACCCAATGTACATTTCTACAAACTTTGCGTAATCAATAGTCTTTTGTAGTGTAATCGTAAATAGGATAATCATGCAAGCAATAGTCTACGGTGGTCCTACACGACTTTCATTGTTCTAGTGAGCTGAATTAGCTAGCTGAAGATACCACTGCAGAGCATTTAGGCAATGTACTTGTTCTTGCGAGGAGTAAGCGTACATCGGTTGCACAGGACAGTCTCTAGGCATACATTTGACTCCTAAAGGTCTACTATTGTTGTTGGTTTTGTTAATTAGTGTAGGTAGTTGACACTGTCCTCTTCCTGCTATCCTCCACTCCTTACATATTTTTAAGGTAGCTGTTTACTTAAAGTATCTTAAGGCTTCCGGACAAAGTTAAAAGGAGTAGGTCATGTTATCGGTCAACGTCAATGGGATAATTATTGAAAACAACTTTCAGCTCGTAAAAGTGACATGCTAGCTGGCAGTAATACAACTAGAAGTCAAACTGGGGTCGATGCAGAGTGCCAAAAGTTTATATCTTCTGCGTACTGTACAATATAGTGAAACTTTCACTTCGGTCCGCACATACTGTTTATAGTTTCGCATTATTTTCCAGGAAAATCCTCACTATATAGATTGTCAGTGAACAGTGGGCTGGCTGTGCATATCGATGAGCGTTAACATACCTTTTGCCAGTTGGATTTCTTGGGAGGTAGAGTATCAGCACTAAACTTTTGTCGACAAGTTCAGAAAGAGAATCAATGCTTTCATTGATGATTGTGACTACAATTTTAGTAACAATTCAATTGTCATACCACCTAGGATCTTTTTACTTTAAGTGTCTGAGTTTTATCTCCAGTGTTAAGTAGTAGTGGAATATGGTAAGTCATTTTGAGATTAGGGGTTCAGTGCCAGGTAAGGTGGGGAGTTCAGTCGTTATGGTTAAGGAACTGCCTCATTAGGAATGACTGGAACACGCGTAGTGCATGCCATTGCCTTCCTCGTCCGGCAATGTTGGGTGACAGGATTAAGTTGGGATTAAGTTGTTGTCTCCAGATCGAATTCATCAACCTTTTGTGAGATCGTTGTTCGTTTGAACACAGGCACTCGTAGTAGGTCTTTTGTGTGCCAGTCTATCAGGTACAAATGTCATGTGAGCATTGGTAATACTTACCCGGTTGTGCAGGCAGTGGATGGGACCCAGGTGGTCATGGATCCGAATCTCATCTTTTGAGCATGCTATTCATTCTTTATTTCGATGATAACTGTTCGGTGGTAGCTATCGATGGACGCACATTTCCATACATTTAGTATTCATGAGAAGACTATCATTCATTGGGAGACATTGTACACATACAATCGATAAGGCAAAACGCATAACTCCTTTGGATTTGGAAATAGGTTTAAGTTTAGTTAACTGCATAACCACAATATCAACTATGCAGAAAATGTGTAAAAAATGGCTCTTGATGTAATTTTAGGGGTTCAGTGTGTCACAGTAGAAGAAAAGTCAACATCTACATGGTGTCCTGAAATTGGAAAGTGTGGTAGTAGAGAATTTAAATTCGATCACACCCTTTGCAGATCAGGTATCGGGAGTTATTATTACTACTCATTCCACGAGTAGAACAGCAAGTTCTATTTTCTGTTATCGCTTCCAGCTGGCTCCATGACTGCTCACAAGCTTTCATATAGGCGAAGTTCAACAACAGCGTCCCAGGAGTGCGAACGCATGCTAGTCGTTGGCTAACGGCACCTATCATTATCATAACTAGAACATCAACGCTATTCAATGCAAATTTCACCCAGATCACGTTTTTAAGTACTGTTTGGACAATGTGTTAATAGCTCGTTAGGGTAAGGATCAGGGTCATAATTAGGATAAGGTTTACGGTTAGAATGAGGGTTGTAATTAGGGTTAGTGTTAAGCCTAGAGGTTAGGGTCAGGATTAAAGTTAGGGTTATGATTAGGGATAGATTTAGAGTTGTCATTTATTTTTATTTGTTTAATTATCCATATTTTCCTGGTAAGTGGTCGTCGATCCTCTTACTGCAAACCATAGTAATTCAACCGAGGGCTTTTGTGGAAGACTGCACATGAGCAGAAGAGAGATAAACGACTCACAAAAACAGCTCATCTTCAGTGGATACATGTAGAGAAACTAGTCTAACTTAGCAACTGATACTCCTCATTATAACTGGGACGTATTTCTAAGTCATGTCAGAGAAACATACCCTGTTTAATGTGTTTTCATTCATTTTCTTGTAAATATACGACAATTTTGGTGCAAAAATTCCTCATTTTTGTGACTGGTCGGCTGAAGAGCACTCGTGCATTCGCATCCTTGGGAGGCTATTGTTGAACTTTGCCCTTTCATTTTCCCTTCATATGATTTATTCCATGTTCACCTCGTCGTATCCCATTCACAATGCACTTGAGGAGCTGGTATGTGATATCACTCAGTGGTTTCCTCAGCGTATGTTCAGTCCATACACTTCTTTTTCCTTCTGCAGATTTCATGGGCAAAATAGATCGCTGGCTGGTTCACTGGCTACCGCAGGCTCTTGTTGCTTATCCTTTCTAGTCAGTCATCTTATTTCAAGCACCGAACGAAGACGACTGTCAACGAAATTCTTCGGACTCTTAGTAATGCTCTCTTCGTGTTACATTCATCAAGTTTCTGAAATATCTAGAAGAGCTGACTTGACATTTTTGTTGAAAATTTGCATCTTGTTCCTTTTATACTCCCTGCTGTGGATCTCTACACTGATTCTAGAGTAATAAATGCCTGTCTTGCCTTCCATAGCCCGGCTATCTTTGACACTCTCATCCATGTCACCTTTAGGTGGAACGACGTCGAAATTAACGAAAGAGATATTAAAGTGTTGTTTTGTACGGATTTGATTGGTTATAGGATTTCATCATGAGCTGACATTGATTAGAGAACCATTGGAAAACCTGGGATTACTGGGCACCTGTTTCCTCCGTCCTAGTTTGGGACTCTTCATCATTATGCATCCAACGCCAGGGTTCTAACCCAGTGGGTATCTAATCAATGTCACCTCTTGATGAAATCCTGTAACCAATCAAATCCCTACAAACCATCACTTAAATATCGATGATATGCTCACTAGCGACTTAGCCTACTCAGGTAGGTAGTTACCTGGAGTTCTAGTGAGAAGTTATGACCAGTAGGGTGCAGCAGGTTGGGTGTGAAGACAAATAATCGCCGAAGACATTGGCTAGGGGTCACGCTATGTCGTGAATTGGCAGAGGTTAGAATTCATGGGCCACTGGATCGGGTCCCAGTGGCTTAATGGTCTATGAGCTAGCTCGCCTTGTAACCAGAAGGT